CACTCAGGAGGTTCCAAACTGAAGAGCTCATCACTGCAATCTCCAGTTCAGACAAGTTTATTTTCTTCTTATTATTAATTTTGTGTCATGAGGGATTGAACCCAGGGCCTTGTACACACTAGGCAGACATTCTACCATTGACCTACACCCTAAGTCCTTTATTTTTATTTAGAGACAGGGTCGTAGGCTAGCCTTGAACTTGTGATTTTCCTACCTCAACCTCCCCTATAGACAAATTCATTCTTTTTTAATATAAAAATACTATAATAACTGGTAAACTAAATGAGATTCAAGCTGTGATCTATAATTTTTTCCCATGGAAATCAATTCCCAAAGATAGAGGGAAAATACCTTTGTCAAATGAGGTGGCTCTGTTTTTGTTTTCTTGCTTTGTTTTGTATAAAACAGAAGACAAGCAATGAACAGCAATACCCCAGGAAAGCTCTTGTACTTCTCTAGCCCATGCTCTGATACAGCTCAACCAAGGCGAAACCAAGCGATTTCTAGTGGCGCTATGACTTGGGGACTTACAGCTTTCAGTGTAAGTCACTGCCAGCTGCGTGGCCCAGAACAGGCACTTAACTCAGGGGCATCCAGTATTTCAACTGCAAGAAGGGCGGGAGAATCAGGGTATGGTCTAGAAAGAACTTGGGGCCTTGTGGACACTCAATAGACAATGGCTCCCACGGCTTCCCTTGAAGGTCCTTCCTATAGGCTCACCACTTTCTCCCTAGCTCTGGGAGGCTCTGGCCAACTTCTCTTAATACCCCAAACATCATGGCTCATGGGTCACCCTTCGTAACACCCTGGTTTTATACTGTGCAAGGGATTTCACCCATTACATTCTACACAAGAACCATTATTTCCAAAACAGGTCATTTGCCCAATATACATATTTGCAAACTGATCCTATTAGAGATGTACAGTACAGTATCTGCACTGTCCAGCGAGTGCAGAGGCCCTCCAATCACAGCTCATCAGCCATGGAGGACAACCCATCTTCTCTGACCTGATCCAGTCTTCTTTGTCCTGTTGTCACTCGACAATGGAGATGAAGCTGTTGTAACCACTTGGCCTTAGAGGAGGCTCTTAGGGCTGAGATGGCTGGAAACGTCTCATTGTGTGGCAGACCAGCAGGCTTGCAAGGACATGACAAACAGTGGGGTCCAGGAACTGTTGACTAATGACCACATTTGGGCTCCCATGATCTTGTGGGTCTTGACTCAGATGCATTGGCTAAGAGAAAACCAAACAAGCCTTCATCTCTGAGCCGTCCTCTCCTTTCTCTGGCAGGCAGCTGCAGTCCTCCAGGGGTCTGTGGATTCCCATGGTCTCCCAGCAGCATCACAGTCCTCTGCCCACTGGAACTTCCCGTGGCCCCAGGATGGGAAGACCCATTTTACAGAAAGAAAAAAACAGAGGTCCAGACACAATAATTTGCCCAAGGTCAACCAACTCGTAAGAGGCATGCCTACTGTGACAAATCATTGAGAACAGAATCTTCGTACAGGAAGAGTAGGACCCATGACACTCTTCAGGAATCTCAGAAGGATCTGATGACACTGAAACCATAGCCTTCTCCAAGGGAAGGAAAACAACGACTCCCTGTCCTTCTCTAAGCCACGATTGCTTGCCATACCTGGGTCATGTGGCAAATTGCCCTTGCTTTCACAGCTTCATCTGGCACTGGTGTGGGGCACAATGTAGCTTAAATTAACATGGGAGATGCTTGGTTGGGAGCATAGTCCTTGGGCTGGACAGCCTGGGGACCAAGCTTGATGCTGCCCCTTACAAGCAATGTGACCTTGGGTGAGCATCTTTACCTCTCCAAGCTTTAGCAATAATTTCCTGAGTACCCTAAGCTTTACTAAAATGTGTAGCCTTTTAACATTTTTTTTTTTTTTTTTTTTTGCATTAAGAACCCTGTGAGGTAGAATGTGTCACTGTCCCCATTTAACAGATGAGGAAACACTAATAATGAAATCCAAGCCTCCTGAGGTAGTGTGGCTCCAGCTTGGTGATCTTTGGTGGCCTTTGCTGACCTGGGGACAAGGATCGGCAGACATTCTGAAGGGCCATGCGGTGGCTACACTAAGGAACTGTCTGGCCTGCAGTATTCATTGTAACTCAGCCCTGCAAGTACAACACAAGAGCAGCCACGGTCCACAGGTGAGGGCTAGCTGTGGTTTGTTCAATTACACTGCAACAGGACATGGACAGGAGCTAGCCTGTGGACAGTGGCTAGCCTGTGGACAGTAGCTAGCCTGTGGACAGTGGCTAGCCTGTGAACAGAATCTGGCCTGTGGGCAGTAGCTGGCCTGTGAACAGAATCTGGCCTGTGGGCAGTAGCTGGCCTGTGGACAGTAGCTAGCCTGTAAACAGAATCTGGCCTGTGGACAGTAGCTAGCCTGTGGACAGTGGCTAGCCTGTGAACAGAATCTGGCCTGTGGGCAGTAGCTGGCCTGTGGACAGCATCTAGCTTGTGGACTGTAGGTAGCTTGTGGACTATAGCTAGCCTGTAGATAGTAGCTAGCCTGTGGGCAGTAGCTGGCCTGTGGATAGTAGCTAGCCTGTGGACAGTGGCTAGCCTGTGGACAGCATCTAGCTTATGGACTGTAGCTAGCCTGTGAGCAGTAGCTAGCCTGTGGACAGTGGCTAGCCTGTGGATAGTAGCTAGCCTGTGAGCAGTAGCTGGCCTGTGGGAAGTGGCTAGCCTGTGGGCAGTGGCTAGCCTGTGGATAGTAGCTAGCCTGTGACAGTAGCTGGCCTGTGGGCAGTGGCTAGCCTGTGGATAGTAGCTAGCCTGTGACAGTAGCTGGCCTGTGGGCAGTGGCTAGCCTGTGGATAGTAGCTAGCCTGTGACAGTAGCTGGCCTGTGGGCAGTGGCTAGCCTGTGGATAGTAGCTAGCCTGTGACAGTAGCTGGCCTGTGGGCAGTGGCTAGCCTGTGGGTAGTAGCTAGCCTGTGGACAGTGGCTAGCCTGTGAACCACACCTTACATCTTTCCTGTGGACAGCATCTGGCCTGTGGATGGTATCTAGACTGTGATTTTAGTTTGTTGGTCCTTGACCTATGTGAATAGCTTTTCCTCGGGCAATTCTGTTAAAAATCCATCTCTTCCTAGCTCAGTTGCTGGAGGGCAGGTACAAGGTGACCAAGGAGGGTACTGGCATCTGCGGATACAGTATAGACTGGGTAATTTATGATCTCTGTCAACCAATGAAACGGTGGTGTATTGACCGCAGGGACAGAGTTGTGTCAAGCTGGGAATAAAAATGGTCACTGTCCTCAAGGGCAAGGAGAAAGGTGTGGGGGGAGCATTATCTGTAGGTGGCAACTGGGATTGAGGCCAGAGTCAGACACTGAGTTTTAAGGCTTTCACTACCAACCCTCACTGAGGATACAAACTCAAAGGGAAGTAAGGGCAGAAGCCTGGCCGAAGAATCAGGAGCAAAGACAGCTTGGAGAATAAACTGACATGGTCTACATGTGGCCGCGAAGATCTAGGTTGCCTGGGGTTATAGCTGAGCTTGGATAGGGTAGTCAGCAAAAATGGAGAGAGCAGTTAGCACTTCCTCCTCAAGCCAGTAACTCATTCTAGGAATCTTTGAATGGAAGCAGAGTGTGACAATTCAGACCTGGCCCAGGCCACTAGATAGCAAAAAAAAAAAAAAAAAGCATTTAATTTAATAGATATTATTAAACACATACTATATACCAAAGTCTGGGGACAGTGGGGACCGGAATGATACATGGCCCCCTCCCAGCCCGTCACCATTTACTAGTGAAATAATTATGTGCACAACTTACTGTAAAAAGAATATTCACAGAAATGCAGACAAGCGTGACTGGGGGCAGAGGAGGCTCCTGATGGCTTAAGAGGACCATTAGTAAGAATCTGTCAGTAAATTACAAAAGCATCACTTTGGTGCTCTAGCCACAGGGCCCAGGAGGCTCTCTGCAGGCTCTCTGAATCACCAAGCTCTATAATCCTCCCTGGAGCACTCCTGCACCTGAGGACTCATTTCCCCATGAGGAGCACATCAGACTTCCTAGAAGAGTCGGGTCCTGCTAAGTGACTCATTTTAAAAAGGGACGTTATCTTGAAAGGGAGTGGAGCAGATAAGGAGGGAAGCCCTTGTCTCTGAGTAATTGCAGCCTTGGAGGAGGTGAGCATCCAGAAAAAATCCTGGAGAGGTGATTGCCAGGATCTAAACGCTAGCACTGGGAAGTGACTTTAAGAAGCCCCAGGGTCACATGCATTTAATAGTCTGTCAGCATACAGCTTAACATCTTCTCTCTGTCAGTGTATTACAGGCCGGGAAAGAGATGTGGCTCTGGGATTGCAGTCAACTGCTAAGAGGTGAGTACTCTTTCACAGTTAAAATTCTGGTTTATGAAATGTAACTTCAGGGGCCGTGTTCCGTGCCAGTGCAGGGGCTCCTCTGGTTTCCCCCTGCAATCTACAGTTCTGAATGGAGTCCTATCCAAGCGTTAACAAAAGCATAAAATCCATTACTCACAAATCTAAAAAAGTTACCATAAATGCTATAGGAAAGTACATCCAGGAACCAGTGAGTTGAAAAATTAGTTTTGAAAACAATAAGACTTAGCCAAGTGTGGTGGCGCACGCCTTGGATCTCAGCACTCAGATCACTGTGAGTTCAAGGTCAGCCTGGTCTACGGAACATATTCCAGGACAGCTAGGGATACACAAGGAAACCCTTTCTCTAAACAAAAACAATAACAACAACAACAACAACAACACAACTTACCAGACAGGTTTGGAAAGTGTATTTAAAAAAAAAAAAAAACATTGGCACAGTTTAACCATCTAATTTCTAAGTGCACTTAGTAATGTTCCTTTGCAAGCTGCCTCTTTAACAAGGATAAAGACAAAAAAGATTCAGTCAGGTGTCACTGGATTCTGGTGACTTTTGTTTGTTTTTGTGTTGTTTTATTGCATTGTCAAGAGTAGAGTTTTAAGAAAAAAACACTACAAAGGTTTCAAAAACCCTATTTATTCTCTATCATCAAAAATAGCAACAGGGGGACTTTATACAACTTCTCTGTGAGTACCCACCAGTCTGTTTTTTTTTTATTTTTTTCTTAAAAAAAATAGAAGTTAGATAAAGAAAAATGATTTGGTTTTTTTGTTTTTTTTTTTAAAAAATAATGTAAGGAAACACTTAATCAGATAGCCCAAGGAGTCATCAGAAATATGTGTAGCAAGAAAGCTTCATTGTGGCCCTCTCCGGCCTCTGCACGTCTTTATACTAAACTAGAAAGAGAATGTACAGTACCAATGTTCCCCAACCTGCTTGGATCAAATTGTTTGTTTTTATACCCATTATTGCTAAGCCAGAGTGTTGACACTGGAGCCGAGGAGTCCACTCATAGAGGATAAAATTGAGAGGCTGCTTCGGAGGACTGGATCTCCACCTGGGCCATTTTGAACTGGGTGCACTGCAGCCATTTGCGGAGGGCAGCCAGGCTAGCACTGCTCTGGCCCGAGCCGGGCAGCGTCCTTAGGCTGTGGTGGTTCACGTGGTTCTGAATGGCCTGGAGACGGAGCTGGAGGCCGGCGGATAAGTGCTGTTAAGAGAGGGTAGACAGTTCAGTTCTCTTCACTAAGTGCACGAGTAATCAGGTAGGGTTGGGCAGGGCAGTCAGTCTACAGATAGAGCTCAGACTTGGCCTGAAGAAAGCATGCCTTTGGTAGTGCTGTGGGGTGGAGAATAGTGAGCCTGCTCTATGGTTCTACAGTTATCCAGGCCCAACTCCATCCAGATGATGATGAGCTCGTATTGACTCACTACAGTGGGAACATGAAACTCATGGCCAGCACCTGGCCTGATAAACTAACTGATCCTGAGCAACCACTCATATAGCACAGGGGCCTAGTACAGTGGTGCTCAGGCTCTGTAGTGGAACTTCCCAGTTTTAAATTCCAGTTTCCCCAGGGAAGGGGGTGGGGGAAAACAGGGTCTATTAGTCCATATTAAAGTTCTGTTCCCAGGTAAGGAGGGCATGTATTGATTTCAGGGGCTCCATAAGACACCTGAGTTAACAGATTTTCTAGAAGGGGATGTGGCCCATAGCAGATGCTCTGTACATTTTAATATTATAATGGTCTCTCTGTGCCCATGACAGTTGACATGGAGAGGCCACGTCAAAGCTCCTCTTTCCCCTGCTCCTCATCAAGCCCTCCTTTTGGTACTTTGTGCCATGTGAAATTGCCACAAAGCAGATGAACTGTGGGGCTGGCAGTTTGGAATGACTCCAGTAGGAAGGCTAGTGGCTTGTTTGGATAGTAAAAACCAGGACTGAAACAGGTTTCAGTGGCCTGTAGGTCCCTGCCCTGCTGGTGGCCACAGCTAGCCAGGACACTAAGGCTGCCTACACTGTTGACAGTTGCCCAGCTGGCCTTTGACGTTCCAGTTGTCTTGAGTCTACACCCTTTCCTTCCACCACGTTGGCTTCCCAACCTGGGGGAGGGGATCCAGGAAGAGTGCTTTTGCCCTCTTCCCCTCCTACAGACTCCAGGTACCACAGACAGGCACCAGTTGTGGATGGTACAGTGCTTGACTCTGTCATTTATTGCCAAGCCCCACTATATTTGCCACTGAGGGGTATTCGTCACCCCCAGTGAGACCTGGGATTGGGAAATACATCATCCACTTGAGGGTCCCCTTGCAGGATCTAGGACCCTATCCAAGTCACTGTTCTTTATGGTCTCAAATCTTGATGGGGGATGTCCTTCTTTATGCTGTGAATATATGTTTATCTTATTGGCTGATGAATAAAGCTGTTTTGGCCAATGGACAGGCAGGAAGTAGCCAGGCAGGGAGTATAGGCGGAGTTACAAGACTAGGAGAATGCTGGGAGGAAGAATGCACAGAGTCACCAGGGAGACACCATGTAGCCACTAAAGGAGTAATATACTGGAGTATTATGGGGTAAGCCACAGCCTTGTGGCAATACATAGTTTAATAGAAATGGGTTAATAATTAAGAGAGAGCTAGCCAGTAAGAAGCCTGAGCCATTGGCCAAACAGTTTATACTTAATATAAGCTTCTGCGTGTTTATTTGGGACTAAAGGGCTGCGGGGCCAGGCAGGACGGAAACTCTCTTCATGTAAAATGAAGGAAGTGGACTCTTCTAGCCCAATTCTGCCACCAAACGTTCAGTGTTACTTTTCTTGCTGGAATTCTCACCATCCTGGAAAACCAATCTTGCTATTAGATGACATCACTGGGTATGCTTGAGCCAGACTCCATGTTTATCCTCCTTAAATAGAGTTTGTCATGGATTGAACCTGCTCAGACCTAGGGCGGTGCCTTTTCCACCCCTCACCTTCATCTACAGTGAGCGGTGGGACCAGGGCTCCTAGCGATGCCCCCTGCAGGTCCCCTACCTGCCACAGGTCTGCCTTATTATCAGCCCATAAGATGAAGAGTAGGCTAAAATTGTTCTTTCTTTATAGTCAAGGGAGTAGAAATGCCCCCTTACAGATGCTGTGGATTCTCCAGAGGAGGCAGAGCTTCTGGACAGCCCAGGGGATGACTTACCTTTGTATTTGACTGGATCATTGGCAACCACATAGGGATGAGCTGTATGGAGAGAGACAGGAGGCCGGTTATTGCTGTCTCCCAGTCTCCCACAGCTGCTTCCATCAGTGCTCGGGAACATGGGCTGCACCGAATCCACTCAGCACCACAAGAGATGTGTGCTTGCCACAGAACCACTGTTACCAGTGGAGTCTTTTTAAGACAAATCCCACCGAGATGGCAGCCTCTGGAGACTAATAAGCGCCCCACGGATGCTTACAACACACACTTTAGAGTAAGTGACCGATGGTCTCTTGAAAGCTACCAAGCGTGGGAAATCAAAGTGTATTTATTTAATTAAATCCCCACTTTCTTGAAATGGGATTTCCTTGTCAGGATCTGTAGAGACTAGGCTCTGAGAGGAAGGGCAACTTGGTTTGCCTGAAGCTGGTAAAAGAGTATGATGGGGCAGTGAGATGTCCATGATAGAAAAACCCATGGAAGTCCCTGAGTAAGGTGGGGAGGAAAGACTAGACCCACGCACAGCTCCAGGGAGTGTGCGGGAAGGAGGGGGGTGCTCGAGGGGCGGGGAGGGGGCAGGTTCACAGGAAAGCCATGGAGGGTGTTTAGAAGGCAACGTGGAACTGGGAATTTTTAAAGTGTGGTTGCCCACAAGACAGAGTTTGTCTGTTGTGCCTCAAGTGTCCCTTCCTTGGGGACAGCAGCTCCCAGCTCTCTGCTCTGACCTCTTGGTCACACTTCAACCTATTAAAATGTGAGTCAATGTTCATAGCATGGTAAATCCAGAAGTCAGGGAAAGAACATAGTGTCACTTTCTGATGTGTCCCCAAAAATCTCATTGGTGGCATGTAAACGGGACAAGAGATGACAATCCTCCAGGAAGCCTGGAAATGTTGGTTTATTTGGGCACATCTCGGTACCTTCATACCCCGATAGGCATTGTGACACTTCACTCTGTGTTCCTTCAAACTGTCACCCCAACACAGCAGTAGGGCTGTTATGGATTAAATTGTATTTCCACAAAATCTGCGTCCTAGCCCACAGTGTCCTAGCCCACAGTGACTCAGAGTGTGGCCTTATTTGGAAACGGTGCTCTTGAAGATGTCGTCAGTTAAGGTGGAGTCACAGTGGAGTAGCAGGGCCTCTGGCATCCTCAAGTGGAGGGGAGTGGGGAGGAACACCATGAAAAGATGGGAACAGAGGGCCACAAACCAAGGGATGCCAAGATCTGCCAACGGCTATGATAAAGGCAGGAAGACACCCTCTCATTGGCCAGAAGAAGCCAGCCCTGCTGGTACCTTGCTGGCAGCCCTCCAGCCCTGTGAAAGAATGTATTTCTGATATTCAAGTCACCCAGCCTGAGGTCTTCACCATGGCGCCCCCCCCCCCAGGAATACAAGTGCTTTGGGAAGGGATAAAGCATGGACACAGCTGTGGGAGTTTGCAGAGCAATAAGTGATGTGAGGGACTCGTGGGTACCAAGGAGGGAGACTCTTAGGAGAGAGTCATGGGAAAGGGGCTTAGAAAACAAAGGCCAAGCAAGCCTCCATGAGCCCACAGATGACCTTGAATGTCGCTTTCCAAATTCAGAATGCTTCTCAAAGAGGAGCAGAGTGGCACCCCAGTCACCATGAACAGAACCATGATAGAGACAGCTGAAGAAAGATGAAGACATGGAAATTGGTGCCAGGGTATGATGTGGAGAGTGCTCGGTGGTCCAGGTAAACTAGAAGTATTTCCGGGCATGCAGAGAGAGTCTGCCTGCAGAGGCAGCTTGCAGTGGTCCGCAGAGACAGTCTGACTGCACGCGCAACCTGCCATGGTCTGAAGATGAATCTGTTATTTCACATGGCTGAAGTTTGCAGGGCAAACTGGAGGAGAGCTGCCCAGAGAAAGTAGAAAAGAAGGTCTACAGAGAGACAGAATGCCACAGATCCATGAAGACTCTGCCTGCACTTCAGCTGAAAACCAACGGGTATACATCAACAGGAAAAACAGCCAGCACTGAAGGAAAAAAATGATGCCAAGTGACTGGAGGGAAATATCCCTGGCTGGTCACACAGATCAGGAAGAGCCTGTGCTCACTGGATGGGTGTCCACAGAACAAGTGTCCATAAGGATGGGTGAATCTCACATTGTGTCACTGAAGAGTCACCAGCCAGGGAAGGTGCCACTCCCATCTCAACTGAGAAAGCAGAAAAGCAAGCCCAGGGATGGTTAAAAAGATGTTAATTATGTCACTGGATGAACCCAAGAATGTATAGCCAGCACCCAACAAGTCAAACCCACAATGCTAAGAATCCAGTTTAAAAAAAAAAAAAAAACCACCAGGTAAGACATGCAAAGAAACAGGAAAATGACCCACAAATGAGAAGAAAACAGTCAACAGAAGACAGACTAAAATGACAGACAATAGTCTTAGCAGACAGGATAGTAAAAGAATGGTTACACCTATTTTTTTATTATTATTAAAAACAGTTGTTGATTAAATGTGTGCGTGTGTGCGTGCCCGCATGCATGTGTGTGTGCACACATGCATGTGTGTGTGTGTGTGTGTGTGTACTTGCATGGTAGTAATGTGTGTATAGATAAGGAGGACAGAGAATTTGCAGGAATCTCTTCTCTATTCACCGTTAAGGACCCCAGGCAAGCAAGTGTCTTTGCCTGCTGAGCGTCTTATCAGCCCTCCTGTGGCTGCTGTGCAGAAAGATCAAGAAGAAGAAAAGCTGAAATTGTCAGATGGAGGCACTAAAGATAATACAAAAAACAACAAACAAACAAAGAAAAAAACATGGTGATGCTTCCCCAAATTTAAAACAATAAAAATCTCAGTAAACTCAGAAAATGAGAAACAGGAAGACAACTCTACTGAGATGAATCATGTTCCAACCCCTTTACAACAGTGGTTAAGATAAACTCTTCAAAGCAGGAAAAGAAAAAGGCATATTTTAACAGCTGAGGAAGTATAGGAAGCAAGCAGACTCCTGTTGGGAATGATGGAAGCAAGCAGAGGAAGGGTCACACCACCTCTGGGATACGGGGTGACTGTGAATCTAGAGCCCAGTACCCAGGGACACCTGATTTTTAAAGCCCTGCAAACTGGTTATTGTGATATAAACCTGTATTTCCAGGAACAGAGACAGGGGGATTACTGAAATTCAGCCTGGCCTATATAGTGAGACATTGTCTCAAAATATAAATAAATAAATATTGCAAAAAATATTTTCAAGACATAAAAAGCTAAAGTAATGAATTACCAGAAGGCTCATGTATGACATGTTTTTAAAAAGTTAAAAAAAAAAAAAAGGTAGATGCTTAAGCATGAAGAAATGGAAAATGGCCAACGTGACGGTTGGAGAGACGATGGCAAACACGGGCTGGAGATGGCTCAGTGGTTAAGAACACGTCTACTCTTACAGATGGCCCAGGCTCCATTCTCAGCACCTGTATCAGGTGGCCCACAACTGCCTGCACCTCTGGCTGCAGGAGATCGGCATCTTCTTCGGGTGTCAGCAGGTACCCACACAAGTGGCACACTCACACAGTCACACATCCACACACGCGAATAAAAGCAAAAACAACCCTGAAAAAAGAAATGGCAAATGGAAACCATAGAAAGGATAGTCAATTTTAGCCAGCTATTAGTGGTGCACGCCTTTAATCCCAGCACTAGGAAAGCAGTGGCAGGTGGATCTCTATGAGTTCAAGGCCAGCCTGGCCTACAGAGGGAATTCCAGGATAGGCTCCAAAACAATACAGAAAAACAAACAAACAAGTATAGACGTATAGTCAATTTTAAACCCATTTCAAGTCTCTTTAAGAGAGTGTTGATTATATAAGTCCCAAACAGCAAGATTATGCCTACATGGTGCAGGCCTGTGATCTCAGCTATTTAGGAGATACTGAGGCAAGGTGATTATAAGCTCAAGTCTTATTTAGTATAGATGAGCTCAAGGCTTATCTGGGCAACTTGGTGAGATACTATATCAAAAGGTAAAAAGTAAAAAAAAAAAAAATCTGAGGGTGGTTTCATGGTAGAATCATGTCAAATTGGATACTTTTTAAAAGTTTTGTGTAGCTAGCATGCACATAGCCTTAGGTTCAAACTCTAGTATATGACTATCATCATCATCACCATCATCATCATCACCAAAATCACCATCATCATCATCACCAAAATCATGCTTATAATGTGTGGTTTGGTTTATATGTAAAGAGCCAGGAGATGGGAATGGATACATGCAAGGAGAGTATAACTTGAAGAGCATGATTACTTAAAAAATATACACTACAAACTCAAATCAACCACTAAAAATAAAAATGGCATACATCTAAGAAGATAATTTAAAATACATCTAAAATCAATCTATAGGTCAAACAAGAAGCTAAAACAGAAAGCGTTTCTAACCCAGTGAAAGTGAATATATACCAACTTGAGGGAAAGTACTTAAAGCAGCACCTAAAAGGACACTCTCAATCTTCTGAATGCTGTGACCCTTTAATACAGTTCCTCATGTTGTGGTGACCCCCAATCATAAGATTATTTCATTGCTACTTCATAACTGTAATTTTGGTACTGTTACAAATCATAATGTAAACATCTGATATGTTACCACTGCTCTAAACACTGATGTTTGAAAACTCTCAAATTAATGACCCAAATTTCCATCTTAAAAAGTGAAACTATTGAAAATTATAATCAGAATTAAATCATACAATTGTCAATCTGAGAAAAGAAACAAAAACAGGATAGAGGGCAAAGAACAGATGAGAAATACAGAAAACAAGTGAAAATTTGATAGGTTTAACCCAACAATGTGACAAAACACATTAAATGAAATGGCCTAAAGACTTTAACCAAAAGGAAGAGACTATCAAATTGGATGCTTTTAAAAAGGCAGTTAACTACACATAGTCTGTAAGAAATACAATTTAAAAATAGACATAGTTTAAAAAAGTAGAAATAGATTTACCATCATAACACTAGCCAAGAAAAATCTACTCTGTTTTTATTAACATTAGAGAAAGTAGCTTTTAGGGGA